AATACCGATGACTCCACCTCACCACCTCACCAGGGACAGGCAGATGATCCCCCCCACCAGGTAATGACAGAGTATCCCCCCCCACCAGGTAATGACAGAAGACCTCCTGCCCCCCACCAGGTAATGACAGCTGACCCCCTCACCCCACCAGTAATGACAGACACCCCCTACCAGGTAATGACAGATGACCCCCCCACCAGGTAATGACAGCTGCCCCCCACCAGGTAATGACAGCTGACTCCCCCCCACCAGGTAATTGCAGCTGACTCCCCACCAGGTAATGACAGATACCCCCCTACCAGCTAATGGCAGAAAACCTCCGCTTCCTCACCAGGTAATGACAGCTGACCCCTCACCAGGTAATGACAGATACCCCCTACTAAGTAATGACAGATGACCCCCCACCAGGTAATAACAGATGTCAGATGTCTCCCCTCCCCCCACCAGGTAATGACAGATGGAACCCCAGGAGGTAATGACAGATGGACCCCCTCCCCCATCCAGTTAATGACAAACAGACCCCCTGCCAGGTAATGACAGATTACCTCCCCTCCTCCACCAGGTATTGACAGATGACTCTCCTCCCCCCACCAGGTAATGACAGATGGACCCCCAGCAAGTAATGACAGATGGACCCCTCCCCAGTCCAGGTAATGACAAATGGACCCCCCCACCAGGTAATGACAGATGACCACTCCCCCACCAGGTAATGACAGATGACCCCACCTCACCAGGTAATGACAGATGCCCCCCCCACCAGGTAATGACAGATGAACCCCCTCCCCCACCAGGTAATCACAGATTACCACCCCCCCACCAGGTAATGACAGATGACCCCACCTCACCAGGTAATGGCAGACGATCTCCCCACCAGGTAATGACAGACAATCCCCCCCACCAGGTATTGACAGAAGACCTCCCATCCCCCACCAGGTAATGACAGCTGACCCCCCTCACCCCACCAGTTAATGACAGATACCCCCTACCAAGTAATGACAGATGACCCCCCGCCCCACCAGGTAATGACAGCTGACCCCCACCAAGTAATGACAGATGACCCCCTTCCCCCCACCAGGCAATGACAGATACCCTCCTACCAGCTAATGACAGAAGACCTCCCCTCCCCCACCAGGTAATGACAGATGACCCCCCCCCCACACTAAGTAATGACAGATGACCCCACCTCACCAGGGAATGGCAGATGACCCCCCCCGACTAGGTAATGACAGACTATCCCCCCCACCAGGTAATGACAGAAGACCTCCTGTCCCCCACCAGGTAATGACAGCTGACCCCCCTCACCCCACCAGTTATTGACAGATACCCCCTGTAACAATTGTGCATACAGAGATGGACGCGGTCATATATTTTGCTAAGGATCCTCCATCTTGTATCTCTCTCTCTCCTCCACATCCCCCCTCCCTCTCTGTTGAGTGACACGTGGTCCCTGGATGCTGACACGTGGTTCTGAGTTCAAAAAGGCATCAAGGCCCAGCAGGAGAGCTCATGGCTATAAACCCCAATTAGCCTGGCCCCCATATGTTTGCGAGACTTTGCTTGGAAAAGGATTGTAAAACCATAAACCAGTCCTTCACTGAGCTTCAAAGACATTCCAGATAAGTCATAAAGCAGACATCACATTCCAAATCCACTTTCCCCTATGATTACATATCTTGGAATATGAAAGACTTAAATAAAAACCAGGCATATATTCAGACCGGTAACAAGTCGTCTAATATATTACACCCCCTAGCTGACACAAACAGGAGAGCAGAAAATGATATCTCCTTAACCATCCCAGCAGGTATGTCATATTTCATATCTAGACGTTCAGCAGATGATTCTGCATATTAATCTACCCATGGATAGAATGTACCTAGGAAAAGTTATTAACCATAGTATCATTTGTGAGGGATTTGGTCATAGCCTGAGCTCCTCGCCTACAACACCCCTCCCCCAATGAGGCGATTGGTTCTCTGCTTTAAGGAGACACCCTGCTGAGTTCCTAGAAAAAGGCTGTTATGCTTGAAGTTAAGCTAAGCTGAGTTGAGTTAAAGTTGAAGAAGCTCCCTTTTAACATCGGAACGAACTTTGGGAGATAAGGCCCTTTTGCTCTAACACTTGAAAGCTGCTTAAACCAAGGCTGACGGCAAGTACTTTATCCCTCTAAACTTCTCCCTGTTATCTCTTTGCTGTGTTATTGCTCTCTGTTTATTTTATTATTATTATACAGTGTTTATATAGCGCCAAAGGGTTTGCTCAGTGCTGTACATTAGCGAGGGGGACAGAACATGAGACAATACAGTACAATACAATACACGAGGGGTTCGAGGGCCCTGCTCTTTCAAGCTTACAATCTAGGAGGGAGGGGATAGTGGTACAGGAGGAAGTGGCTGTAGGGGATGGAGTGGTAGGAGGAGTGGAGTAGATCGGTTGTTAGGTGAGGGTGGGGTAGGCTTCCCTGAAGAGATGGGTTTTCAGGGTGCGCCTGAAGGTGAGGAGGGTAGGAGAAAGTCTGATGGATTGGGGTAGGGAGTTCCAGAGGATGGGGGAAGTCCTGGAGAAGTCCTGCAGTCGGGCGTGGGAGGAGGAGACCAGGGTGCTAGAGAGGTTTTTTTTTCTCTTGGGAGAGTGCATGTGATCAGCACAGGGCCAATCAACACTGTCCAGACAGAGGTCAGGTGTTCTGCATCCTGCCACATGAGAATGAAAACTCCTCCTACAAGCTGTAACCAGTGCTCTGCTGGACACTGATAGAAGTCACAAGACTGCTCTACCTGCTGATGAGAAAAAGGTATTTAGCAGTTTATATTAACTAAAATAATTGCATTTCCATGTTCTGTGTACTGTGGGAGACCAGATATAGTGAATGCAGAGTACTGGGTTTAGTAACACTTTAAATCTTATTCTCAGTCTGGAGAAGTCACTGCAGCTTTCTTTTCTTTCTGCAGTGGTGGAGGTGGACTGGCATCTGGGACTGAGCAGTACTCATGTAATGACATTGTGACACTGCTCAGTCCTGGAATACTGTGAGCCCAACCTTTGTGATGATGCATCCCCTGGGGGGGGGGGTGTAAACAGCAGGCTGAGCTCCTAGAAAATATAAAGAAAGATGCCAGTGCTGCTATGCCCGTAGAGTACTACCAGGACTGACTGAGGAGGAAGTAGGAGACAGTTCTGAAGTATGAAGAAGGTAAGTGCAAAATTTTTGTGTTGTGTGGGAGGATGGGAATCCATAGAAAAAAACAAGGTGGAGTTCTACTTCAAATATGTTTCTTAGGTACTTTTTATGTTATTCTAATCTACTTTAACATGACAAAGTTGTAAAAAAATAATAATAAATATATAGGACACTTTAGTTGTGTGTGTAACATAGTACATGCCTGAAAAGCTAGGTTCCCTTTATGTTTGTGATATATGTGTACAGCGCTGAGCGAACTATCGGCGCTTTATAAATACTGTATAATAATAATATGTGTTTAGAAAAAAAAAGTCTTAGCCTCCACTAGGTGCACTTTGAGAATATTTGTTTCATTACCATTGGGGGTAGAAAAAACAGTTTTCAACTTTTAAAATAGATTGTTCTTCATCAACATAAATCGAAACAATACATAAGTAGAGGTATTTTCCTATAGGTACTGTATTGTATTTATTGTTAGCAAAATATTTTAATTTGTTACAGTCAGATCTTTAAGCAGTGGTAGAATTAATGCATTTTATATTTATGAAGATCGCTGAAAATATGCTTTTAATAAAGTTTATTTTATGAATAATTTTTTTTGTGTTATATAATAAAATTATTTATTTACATAGAAAATCATTTTCTAATATAGCCTCGCAAAGCAAGGTTCCTTTAAAACATTATACAAAAATGGTTCTCTCTTACTAATGGAAAAAAGATAATTATTTATGTGGTTAATCACAGCAATAGGTTATATTACGTTCTTTTGTTTGATGTAAGTAAGAGTGCAGGAAAAAACTATAGGGACACATTTTCTCCAGAACAGTATGCTGCGTGGAGCTAAACATAGGCAAACAGTATACAACCACAATAATTCCTGGAGGTAACTAGGCCTGCATTCACATCTGACCAGAGCAAAGTCCTAGTGATTCTGAAGAATTTTTGTATTTTTTACGGACGGTTTACATCAAGCTTTAGGTGTTTTTGCATGTATATCAAGCTTCAGTCATTTTGTTTTCTGCGCTCAGCAAAGGAAGAAGAGCAGTCCTAGAGGCGGAGAGGAGTTTTCATATGTACAAAGGCATGCAAAGCCATGTATCTCTCATGTACTTTTTTTAGCGTACTTCATAGGGCTGCTGAAAAGTGAGAACAGGGACTATTAGAATGATTTGGATACTGCATGTTGAGCATAGTCAGGCCTAGGGAAATAGGCTGGAAATTGCTCAAGTGTGAATGGGGGCTAACTGCATACAGGGAATAGTTAAGTCAGAATTTTAACAACAAAGGCATATATGCACTTTTGTAACTGTCAACGCAAACACTACAGCAAAGAAAATGCTATCAAATGTTACATTAGTTTTTCCTTGGGCCCCTTTTAGAAAGGCATCATCCATTCAGTCACGTTTTTTTCAAAGAAAAATTCAGATACAGTTCACATCAGTTTTGAAATAAATTTTCAGTTCAGATCAGTTTACATCTGCCCGCCGGCAATCTTAACAGCATTGGCTCATCCCTACTATCCGTGGAGGATTCCCCACTGACAGCAGAATGTAAACAAAAGAGTAAACATTAACCACTTGTCCTCCAGAGGATTTACCCCCCTTCCTGACCAGGCCATTATTAACCACCTTCCGCCCACCCTATAGTATAATGACGGGCACAAGGTGGTTCTCTCGTTCTGATAGGACGTCATATGATGTCCTACCATGCTCACTGCGCATGCGCGGCTCAGGGAGCGCTCAGCACGGCGATCGCCAGTCCGCTGTGTCCATCACGGAAAGAGCCGAAGATGTTGGCTCGGTCATGTGATCAGCTGTGCCCAATCACAGCTGATCACATGTAAACACGGAAATGCCGGTTATCGGCATTTTTCTCCTCTCGAGCTGTCACGCTGACAGCTCGAGAGGAGAGCCAGTAATCGGCTTTCCACGGAGGGGACATGTATACTGATCATCAGGGCACTGATGATCAGTGTGCCTTGATGATCAGTGTGGCCCCAGAAGTGCCACCTGTCAGTGCTCATCAGTGCCACGTGCCAGTGCCCATCAGTGCCATGCCACATCAATGCCACATATCAGTGCATACCAGTGCACATCAATGCCACATATCAGTGCCCATCTGAGCTGCCTTTCAATGTCACCCATCAGTGCCAGTCAGTGTCGCCTATCAGTGCCAGTCAGTGCCGCCTAACAGTGACAGTCAGTGCTGCCTAACAGTGCCAGTCAGTGCCACCTATCAGTGCATATATCAGTGCCATATATCAGTGTCATGTATCAGTGCTGCCTTTCAGTGCCCATCAGTGATGCCTGTCAATGCCCATCTGCAACCTAGCAGTGCCTCCTCATCAGTGCCTATCAGTGCCACCTATCAGTGTCCATCAGTGCAGCCTATCAGTGCCCATCACTGCACCCTCATTAGCGCACATCAGTGAAGGAGAAAAATCACTTATTTACAAAATTATATAACAAAAACTAAGAAAAAACATTTTGTTTTTCAAAATTTTCAGTGGTTTTTGGTTTGTTTAAGAAAAATAAAAATCCCAGAGGTGATTAAATACCACCAAAAGAAAGCTCTATCTGTCTCAATAAAATGACAAAAGTTTCATATTGGTACAATGCTGCATGACCGCGCAATTGTCATTCAAAGTGTGACAGCGCTGAAAGCTGGAAATTGGCCTGGGCAGGAAGGGGGTATAAGTGCCCTGTAGGCTAGTGGTTAAGTTATAGCATCTACAAACAGCATCTACAGCAGTATATATACTGGAATTTTTTGTTTTCGTTTTTTTATACTAGTAATGGCGGCGATCAGCGACTTATAGCAGGACTGCGGCGGGCATTCTGACACTTACGGTCACTGCCATCCCCAGTGACACTAATACAGTGATCAGAGCTAATAAAAAGCACTGACACTGTACTAATGACACTGGAAAGAAGGGGTTAACTTTTGGGAGGATCAAAGGATTACCACGTGTGTGGTTTTACTACGGAGACATGCTGCTTTGTATTTCTCTGCTGTGCAAAGAAATACAAAGCAACATGTCCTTGATGACAGGAGAGAGACCTGTGTTGTTTACACACAGGTCTCTCCCCTGTCAACTTAACATGACAATCACTGGGTGCCGGCGGGGAATATCCGGAATGGCCCCGGTTATTGACATCCCTAGCTGCCAATGCGGCACGCGTGTTCCCTACCCGTAAATGCAAATCAGGTGTATATTTACATGATTTTGCGCAGCCCTGTGGCCCTGCAGCAGTACTTCTACTATATGGCAGTGGTCAAGTGGTTAATCAGATCCTGGTCCCACTTACAAGTGACTGAGTATGCAGTACATAGTACACAACACAAAAAACACAACACAGTTTTTTGTTTTTTATTTAAAAAATGCCCCCCCAATGTAGATCCATCATCAATCAAGACAGCCAGTGATGTAGGTCCACCTCAGTCATGATGAACGATGGCTGCCAACCTGCATGAAAAAAAAAACAACCTCCAAACCACCGAGCCCAAACTCTCCTGTCCCATGCCGGTGCCAATTGACATTGTCAGTTCTCCCCACCGCAAAAGTAAACAAAGGGGCAAGGTCATTTTCATCATCAGTGGGTAGGGTCACCTGGGGATGTAACTAGGTGACCCGCTCCTTTGTTTACTTCAGCGGTGGGGCAGAATGACAGTTCCCCTACTCTAAACTAAACAAAGAAGCAGGGTCACTGGGTGACCCTGCCCCTTATGACATCATTGAGCATATGTGATGGCACAAGGGGGCAGGGGTCACCTGGTCATGTCCCAGGTGACACTTGTCCATTTGTTTAGTGGTGGGGAGAACCAGCTTTGTCAACTGGTGCCTGCAAGCGACAAGAGCAGTCAGGTTTGCTGATTGGTGTATTTTTTTTGCATGAGGGAAAGCAGCCAATGATTGCTGGATGATGTGATTGACAATGATTCGGGGGACTTTCTTTTTAATAAAGGACTTGTCAAAAAACTTATGTACATTTGTCATTTCATGAATGAGTAGGGGTACTATATACTCCATATTCATTCACTTGGGGGGGGAATGGGATCTTGGGGCCCCCTTGTTAAAGAGTGCTTCTGAATTCTGAAAAGTAACCCTCCACACCACCACAAGCCACTGGGCCAGGGTTTTGGGAAAGAAACTCCTGTCCTCCTTAATATGGGGACATGGTCCTATGCCAAGGAGAGCCCCTCCAGCAAAGTACCCCCCCATGTTAAGAACATGTGGCCTGGAATGGTTGGGGGGAGTAGCACGCTCCTCTCTCACTCCTTTCCTTGCTTGACAGGCTGCATGCTCAGATAAGAGCCTGATATAGATTGGGGTGGACCTCATGCCATTTTTCTTTTCATATTCAGCTGCTTTGTTACATTCTGCTGTCTGCAGGGAAGCAAGGAATTTGCCAGGGAATCCCCTGCTGACAGCAGGGATGAGTCATGGTTGTTAGGATGCTGGCGAGTGTTGGCTCCTTAACAACCACTGACTGTCACTGGTTTTTAGGTTTTTTTATGCAAAAAAAACTGATGCAAAAAACAGACCGTTATCCATTTAGTTCTGTTTAGGTCCACTTCCATTTTTTAATCAGAACAAAATTAGACACTTGTTCCGTTTTAAAAAATTGGATCTGAACGTATCTGGATGTAAACTGATGATCATCCATTTACATCCCTTTGCTGTCAATGGACAGATGGAAAACAGACACATAGAATCCCTGTGTGAAAGGGACCCTATACTCTGATTATTAAGGTGAGTCAGTTGTTGTTACAAAATATACTACCCAACTGTTGCACTCAAAATCTCTGATCTCGTTAGCATTGGAGAAGACAGGTAGAGGCATATAACACAGGATTTTCTTGTACAAGAAGAACTAAAGCAAGGAGATACACTTTTTACCCCAATTCCCTTACACCTACTTCCAATGTTATAATCAAAATGTGTTTCAAAGTTAAAATGGACAATATTTAGCAGAATGGCTTATCTACTAGTGTACAATATAGGTATAGTGGCAAGCATCTAAGAAAGTCTTGGAAGAGAAATGACTATGTAATAGTTTTTTAGGAAAAAAAAAAAACAAGACAGAGGAACACTGATGAGCTGAAAAGACCCATTTTGGGAACTTCTGTAGAATTCATTCTTTCAAGTATCTGGGAACTGTGATAAAAAGACAAGGAAAAACACAGCATAGAATAGCTGCAACATATTACTGGTATTTGGGACTGGGTGATATAGAGTATATGGTAAAAGTCTGTATCCAGAACAATGAACACTACTACATACAGCATGGTGAAAGCCAATATTGACTTGGCACTAACAAGGAACCTAAAAAGTTAAGATCAGATAGGTAGCTGTTTACAAGAAATGCTTTAAATTGTATATATTTGTGAGAGACACAAGCATATTGTAACTTCAGTGTAGGTGATTGTATTGCAGTTTCTGTCACTTTTGTTAGCTAGCTGTCAGCTAACCATTAGTAGGATTATGGTAGAACCCAGATGTTGTAGAGTTTCCCTTTAAACTTTAACACTTCTAGCAGCCTGTGTTTGTAGAAGCAAGGTTTTTGGCTCATCTTCCCCCCTCCCTTATTTCCTGTGTATGGATCTGCAGCTGGTATTTTCTTATCTCTAGTTGCTGGCCAAGGTTATTCTGTAGAGTTTAGGAAGCCTTTTGAGTGTACAGAAAGTAGAAACAGAATGTATGCTTTGTGGTGTAATCATTGGTATATAAGCTTGTAAGACGTTTTCTACAACTCACTTAGCAGATGAGAGCGGCTTGCCGTCTGCTGGGTCACTACAGCGCCGTTTTTAATAAATTAGTTGCTTCCTTCAGAAAGTCCAAGTCTGGAGTTTTATCTGGTTTTGTGAAAATTGCTACTACATTTTTGGTGCATTGGCCAGGAAACCAGGTGTTACTACCGAGACAGGTGGTTTTCCCACCCTGACCCGCAGGGCTCGGTCCGGAGCTGGCCCCTGGGATCTCCATGTTATTTCAGGCGCCACTGGACATTTGTCTGGGAAATCGCACGATATCCTAGTCGTCTGCTCCGAGGAACGACCTGCTGGAGTCCAAAGATTCCGGACTGCGGAACCAACTGCTAAATAGTGCAGCTTCACACATCGGGAACAGGTGAGATCTTTGCCTTTTGGGTTATAACAGTCAGTCAGGACCTCTCGACGGTATTCGAGAGAAGGGGAGCTTGATCTCCTCCCGAGGTGCCCTTGAATTGGATGATTGTGCATCCTTGGGCCATACCTCCAGGTAGTCAGTAATTTTGGGTTGGAAAGTCTGGTGTGTATGTGAGTGAATGAGACATTGCTCAGCAGCGAAGCCAGAGTTGACCCTGTGTAGGTGCAGTTCTTGGTACTTGGGCTGATATTGTTCTGTACCGAGTCACCGATAAGGGGAAGTGTTTGTCTTTTAACCCTCTTGTGTTGAGAACTTTGGACCCCTTTACCAGGTTCTCAATCTAATCCCCTATCCCTCTGTGTCTGTCTTGGTGTCTCTAAGGAAACAATGTGGGTGGTAACCAGTCAGTCCAGACCCCCTTGGAGTGCCTTAGAGTGCATGATCAGTACTTTCAGGAGTGGGTTTTGCAAGACCTGCAAACTGAAACTCAGTTCTAAAAGATTAGAAACACTGTACAAGAAAGGCTGGCCCCGTTATGGAAAATGTTGGCCGCCCCAGGATACGTTTGATTTATAGAGACCATTGACCAATTGTAAGTAATATCAGGTGTACAGAACACTAAGGAAATGTATATAGTACAGTATATATATAATATACACGGATCTCTCAGGGCACATTACCTGTATATTATATTGATGGAATGTATAGATAACATATGAGTTATGCAGGAGATGTACAGAGGATAGGAAAAGTACCGATGACATACACTATGAAATGTATAGATGACAAAGATAACATTACAGCCTAAAAAGTAACAAGTGCATATTTTCTCAGCCTGAGGAGACAGATCTGCCTCCTCCATATGTACAGGGACATACCGTGGGTGAACGAGGGACAGATTCTGAGACCCCTAGTTATATGACACTCTCAGTACTAGCAGTAGGATGGGAATTGGGGACACAGCAACAACTAATGGGAGCATAGATCAGGTGTCCACTTCCACCCTGAAGGACTCCAGTGCCAGAAATCAGACTCTTGTCCTATCCTTCAATTTATCCATGCAAATGCCCCTAAG